GAAATTCATATGGAACTGACATAGAGCCCGCATAGTCAAAGCAAGATTGAGCGAAAAGAACAAATCTAGAGGCATCACATTATCCAACTTTGAACTACACTCTAAGGCCATAGTCACTAAAGCAGCATGGCACTGGTATAAAAATAGGCACATAGACCAATGGAACAGAATGGAGAACCCAGAAATAAATCAAAGACTTACAGCCAACTGATCACTGACAAAGCAAACAAAAACATGAAGTAAGGAAAGGACACCCTATTCACACATGGTGCTGGGATGGCTGGCTAGCCACATGTAGAAGAACGAAACTGGATCCTCGTCTTTCATCTTATACAAAAATCAACTCAAGATGGATCAAAGACTTAAATCTAAGGCCTAAAACCACAAAGATTCTAGAAGATTATATAGGAAAAACCCTTCTAGACATTGGCTTAGGCAAAGACTTCATGACCAAGAGCTCAAAAGTAAACACAACAAAAATGAAGATAAATAGAAGGGACTTAAACTAAAGAGCTTCTGCAAAAGAAATAATCAGCGGGGTTAACAGACAACCCGCAGAGTGGGAGACAATCTTCACAATCCATGGATCTGACAAAGGACTCATAGCCACAATCTACAAGGAACTCAAACAAATTAGCAAGAACACTCAATCACATCAAAAAGTGTGCTAAGGACATGAATAGACAGTTCTCAAAAGAAGATGCACAGATGGCCAACAAGCATAGGGACAAATGCTCGGCATGACTCACTATCAGGGAACCGCAGTGTGATACCGCTTCATTCCTGCAATAATGGCCGTAATTTAAAAAAATAGACGTTGACGTAGATGCAGTGAAAAGGAAAGACTTTTACACTGTTGGCGGGAATGTAAACTGGTAAAACCACTATGGAAAACAGTGCAGAAGTTCCTTAAAGAACTGAAAGTAGATCTGCCATTTGATCCAGCAATCCCACCACTAGGTATCTATCTAGAGGAAAAGAAGTCATTATATGAAAAAGATATTTGCACATGCTTGTTTATAGCAGTACAATTTGCAATTGCAAAAATATGGAACCAGCCCAAATGCCCATCAACCAATGAGTGGGTAAAGAACATGTGACACACACACACACACACACACACACACAAACACACACACACACTGGACTATATTCAGCCACAAAAAAACAAAATAATGGCATTCCCAGCAAACTGGATGAAGTTGGGAGCTATTATTCTAAATGCAGTAACTCAGGAGCAGAAAACCAAACATGGTATGTTCTCACTCGTATACAGGAGCTAATTATGAGGATGTAAAGGCCTAAGAATGATACATGGGATTCTGGGGACTTGGGGGGAGGGCTGGGGGTGGTGAGGGAGAATAGACTACACATTGGGTACAGTGTACACTACTCAGGTGATGGGTATACCAAATCCTCAGAAATCGCCACTAAATTACTTATTCATGTAACCAAACATCACCTGCTCCCCCAAACCCTACTGAAATTTAAAAAATTTAAACAAACAAACAAAAATAGTTCAATGTATCAGATATTGTTAAAAATTCTGTAAAATAAAATAAGAAATCATGGTAGGATGGCATGAGTGTTTGACAGGGTCTCACTCTGTCACCCAGGCTAGAGTGCAGTGGCATAATCACAGCTCACTGCAGCCTTGAACTCCTGGGCTGAGTGATCCACCTGCCCCAGCCTCTGGAGTAGCTGGGACTAAGGGCACACACCACCATGACTGGCTGAGCTTTTACATTTTGTAGAGAAAAGAGTCTTGCTGTGTTCATCAAGCTGGTCTTGAACTCCTGGGCTCAACCAATCCTCCTGCTTCAGCCTCCCAAAGCTCAGGGATTACAGGTGTGGGCCATCATGTCCGGTGTGTGTGTGTGTGTGTGTGTGTGTTTGTGTGTTTTAAATGTAGAAAAAAGGGAATGAAAGGGTGCTGAGAAATTTGACTCATGGATGATTCTGCTTTTCCCATTTTAATTCATGTTTCTTTATTATGCAATCAGAACCTTTTCTCCGCAGTTGGATATAAGGAAGAGTGAGAAGGAAAATGGGTAATTATTCACTGAATGGATACATGCATGAACTGCTTTCTTTCTTCAGAGCCAGAGAGCCCGTCTCTGACTCCTAACAGTGTACCCCCTTAGGGACATTAATTACCCTCCATGTATTTCAGATACTCCACCTATAAAGGGGTTATCACAGGGTAGTGGCTGACCCCGTGGGGCTCCACACCGATCCCCTTTCCCAGATCTGCACACCTGCCCAGCTTCTGCGTGTGTTTGCTTCTGACAGCCCTTACCCACCACTCCCTTTGGGGGACAGCTCTCAGGCTGCCGAGGCCATTTGGCCAGGTACCTCCAGGAGTCCGAAGTGCCTGGGAATTCACACCCCCGCAATCTCACAGCAGCGTCAGTTGTGCCGACAGGTGTCAGCCTGACAGGTGTGCGCCCGGCTTCTTACTCCGAGGCATCACTTATACTCCAGTGCCCACTGTGGGATCAGGCTGAGGCCAGGACTTGGCCCAACCTGGCCTCTTCCCTGTGCATCTGCTCCTTTACTGCTTTTCCCTGGAAGCACTTCCTGAATGTATCACTTGTCCATGAGTCCCCATCTCAGGTCTGCCTCTGGGGAATCCGACTCACTCCAGGCCTGCGGCGGGAGGGGTGGGATAAGGTGTGTGCAGAGCTGCCCACCTGCCAGGTGACCTGTCCAGGGGAGCAGCATGCCCAGGAGCATGGTGCCTCCCAGGTCGCCCCCCACGAAACATCCTTCAGGATATTTTCCATGATGCCATTTCCTTGCTCTCCTCTAGTCCGGAACTTCATCTTCGGGATCTGGTAAGATCAACTTTGTTTGAAAACTTCCCTGACCCTTAGCACCAGCTGACCTTTCTCCCTCCAGAGCTCCTGTGACATGTATCGCCGTTATGAATTCATTGTTATGAATCGTCTGGGTTTTAAAATGTATTTCAGTGTATAACTCTAATCTCTCCAAAATGACATCACCCATAAATGCAAGATAAAGAAATACCATATTTCATTGACTCAAGGTTGTATTTTAACATGTCTGAAACTGGGATACATCTTCTATTTTTTTTATTTTTATTTTGAGACGGGGTCTCACTTTGTTGCCCAGGCTGGAGGGCAGTGGTATAATCTCGGCTCACGGCAACCTCTGCCTCCTGGGCTCAGGAGCTCCTCCCGCCTCAGCCTTCCGCGTAGTTGGAATTAAGGTGTGCCGCCACGCCCAGCTAATTTTTTGTGTTTTTGGTAAAAAAGGGGTTTCCCCATGTTGTCAAGGCTGGTATGGAACTCATGGGGTCAAGCAGTCCGCCCACCTTGGCCTCCCAAAGTGTTGGGATTATGGGCGGAGCCACTGAGCCCAGCCCCAGGGCTACATCTTCTAAGCAAGAATGTACAGTAGCTCAGCTGGCGGCTGCCGTTTTTGCTGAGAGGTGCATCAAATAATGGAGATCTGACCACACACGACGTCAGTCTTGGTCATGTGTGACCTGTCTCACATGCGTGTGTGTGGTGTGTGTGGGATGTGTGTGCAAGGTTTGTGTGGTATATGTACATATCGTATGTTTGTGTGTATGGGGTATGTATGTGGGTGTGGCACACAAGTGTAATGTGTGTATGCATGGGTGTGTGTGGTATGTATGTTTGTATGGTGTATGTGAGGATGTGTGTGTTGTATATGTTGTGTGTGAGTTGTATGTGTGTGTGGGGAGCGCGTGTGCACATGGTGTGTGTATGGCATATGTATATGTGATGTGTGTGTGGTGTGTGCAAGTGTGGTGTGTTTATATGTGGTATGTTTGGGGTATGTCCATGTAGTGTATGTGGTGTTTTTGTGTGTTGGGTGTGTGGTGTGTGTGTGTCGCATGTGCTACATGTGATGTGTGTGTGGTGAGTGCATGTGTGTCATGTGTGCTGTATATGATGTGTGTGTGGTGTCTGCATGTGTGATATGTGTGTGCTGTGTTTATAGATAATATGTTTGGGGTATGTGAGTGTAGTTTACATGGTGTTTGTGTGTGTTGGGTATGTGATGTGTGAGTGTGTGGTGTGTCTATATGTGCCTGTGTGTTGTGTGTATGGCATGTGTGTGTGTGGTTTGTATGTGTGGTGTTTGTGTGTGTCTGGTGTGTGTGGCATGTGTATGTTTGTGTATGGTGGGGTGTGTGGGTGTGCATATGGGGTATGTGGTTTGTGTGCAGTATATGTGTTTGTGTGTGACATGTGGGTGTGTGTGTGGTATATTTATGGTGTGTGTGTGTATGTGTGTGAGGAGTGTCTGGAGTGTGTGTTGTGCAGGCTGTGTTTATGGCATGTGTGTGGCTTGTGTGGTGTGTGTGGTGTGGGGTATATGTATGTGTGTGGGGGGTGTATTTGTGTGGTGTGGGGTGTGTGTGCATATGTATGGTGTGTATGGTATATGCGTATATGTGTGATGTGTGTGGTTTGTGGTGTATATACATGTGAGTGTGTGTGGTGTGGGGTGCATGTATATGTGTGTGGGGTGTGTGCATGATATGTGGTGTGTGTGTATGTGTGGTGTGTGTGGTTTGTGGTGTATATACATGTGAGTATGTGTGGTGTGGGGTGCATGCATGTGTGTGATATGTGGTGTGTGTGGTGTGAGGTGTGTGTACATATATGGGTGTATATGTTTGTGGTATGTGGTGTGTGTGTATATGTGTGGTGTGTGGTGTGTGTATATGTGTGTGGGGGTGGATGTGTGTGGTATGTGGTGGGTGTGTGTATATGTGTGTGTGGCGTGGATGTGTTTGTTGTGTGTGTGTATATGTGTGGTGTGTGTATATATGTGTGGTATGTGGTGGGTGTGTGTATATGTGTGTGTGGGGTGGATGTGTGTGGTATGTGTGTGTGGGGTGTGTGTGTGATATGTGGTGTGTGTGGTGTGAGATGTGTGTACATATATGGGGGTATATGTGTGTGGTATGTGGTAGGTGTGTGTATATGTGTGGTGTGTGGTGTGTGTGGTATGTGTGTATATGTGTGGTGTGTGGTGTGTGTATATGTGTGTGTGGCGTGGATGTGTGTGGTATGTGGTGTGTGTGTGTATATGTGAGTGTGGGGTGGATGTGTGGGTATGTGTGTGTGTATATGTGTGGTGTGTGTGGTGTGTGTGGTATGTGGGGTGTGTGTATATGTGTGTGGGGGTGGATGTGTGTGGTATGTGTGTGGTATGTGGTGGGTGTGTGTATATGTGTGTGTGGTGTGGATGTGTGTGGTGTGTGTGTATATGTGTGGTGTGTGGTGTGTGTGGTATGTGGTGTGTGTGTATATGTGTGGTGTATGGTGTGTGTAGTATGTAGGGTGTGTGTATATGTGTGTGTGGGGTGTGTGTATATGTGTGTGGGGGTGGATGTGTGTGGTATGTGTGTGGTATGTGGTGGGTGTGTGTATATGTGCGTGTGGGGTGGATGTGTGTGGGGTGTGTGTATATGTGTGGTGTGTGGTGTGTGTATATGTGTGTGGGGGGTGGATGTGTGTGGTGTGTGTGTGTATATGTGTGATGTGGGGTGTGTGTATATGTGTGTGTGGGGTGTGTGTATATGTGTGTGTGGCATGGATGTGTATGGTGTGTGTGTGTATATGTGTGGTGTGTGGTGTGTGTGGTATGTGGGGTGTGTGTATATGTGTGGTGTGTGGTGTGTGTATATGTGTGTGGGGGGTGGATGTGTGTGGTGTGTGTGCTGTGTGTGTATGTGTGTGTGGGGTGGATGTGTGTGTTGTGTGTATCAGACTCTGCTGCAAATGTGCGCACCGTGAACACCGAACACCAGGTGATGTGAACAGTTTAAAAACCTGACGTTAAACCAAGTGCCTAAAATGCTTTAACTTCACCAGGTATCTGTTTGCATTTCATTAACAAAAAGAACTCTTTTCTTCAAAGACAAAAGTGTGTACATATTTCAAATAGTAAAAAATATCTCAATAAAACAAACCCTGAGCACCTACTGTATGCAAGCACTGTGCCTCTAGCCAGACATACAAAATTAACACTTCAGCTCTGACCTCCTCAGGGTGGACAACCCGGCAGGGCTGAGCCAGACCCGGGGTGAGACACAGCCAGTCTGGTTCTCTGGCATTAGAGGTGCAAACCCCAGTCTCTCTGCCCTGTCTCCTGCCCTACAGCAAGACCATGAGAGCAGCCACAGCTGTCCAGGTGAGCAGTGGCCACCTGTCCTGCTGTTCCATCAGCTGGAATGCAGCAGTGGGGCTGGCCCGGGGCTGAGTGCTGGCAGAGCGAGGACCGTGGACAGAATCACCGGTAATTTCTCCAGGGCCCCACTGGGTAGGGCCAGGCATTGTGCAGCCATCCACGGGAGCCCTGGGCCTCTCTGCCTGGGCCTGGCACTCTTTCCCGAAAACATGCTGGCACCTGAGGTGAGCCAGCAGACCCAAGTGTAGGACTAATTCACCTGGAATGTCAATATTTGGGTTCAGGGTGACTGAGTCCATACAAATACCAGATATACTTAGTGTGTGTTCTTGTAAAACAGGAAGAAAAACAAAACACTTCTCTGATCAAAATAGTGTTCTGTGTATGTGCAAGCCCTCCCCACAACCCCAATGATACAAGGTCACCTCATCAGAGTCAGAAAAAGTTTTCCAGTGGGATATCTCTTCCTCGTTCCAACTGCATCTCCAGGCCACGGTGCCACCCCGAGCTGGGTGTAGAGAAGTTTAGATGCGGAAGACAGCCTAATGTTTAGTAAAAACAAAAGAGCATCAAACGGAGGACAGCTGGGGTCCAGAGAAGCTGAGATTCTGCCTCCGTGGCGCCCTACTCATCAGCAAACCCCACAGAGCTCCATGACCATTTCTCTTTCATGATTGTGGCAGCCACAAGTGTAGGCTCTGGACAAGCGAAAACTCCCAATACGGCTCTGCTCTGGAGGCCCCATTAGTGGTGGCCTCTTGTGTCCTTATCGGCAATGATGCCAGCAAGAGCCAGAAGATCCTCCTGACTTTAACCCGGGTCTATTTCTGTTGCATTCCAAAGCCTCCCCTATAACCTTTTGTACAATCTCTGAGCATTCACCTGCAGATAACACAAACTTTGACTAACCTTGGCTCATGTAATATGGAGACGTGTGGCCTCACAGGGTTGGAGCAGTGGCCCAGCCATGCCATCAGGGAATGATTGCTCTTTACCTCTCTCTGTTTTGCCATCTTTGATGCTGGTCTTCATTCCCCAGTTCATGGCTTCACAATCACAAAATGACTGCTGCAGCTCCGGGCATTGCTTCTACAGTTCAAAACAGAAGAAAGAATGGGAGAAGGAAGGTGATACCTGTTTCAGGGAAGTAAAAGTTTTCCCAGAAGCCCCAGAAGATCTCTGTCTATGTCTTCTCTGCTGGAAGTATCATGTGGCCACTGCTAGTTTCAAGGGAGTCTGAAAAGGTGAGCATTTTTAGCTGGGCACGTCACCTGCCTGGACACAACTGGAGTTCTATTAGGACGTGGGGAATGGGTATTGCATTGGCATCTAATAATGTCTGCCCCAGTGAGTGGGTGAGGAGACTTGCATCTCTGCAGGATGAGATGTGAGTAAAAGCGCCCAGCGTGGCGAGGGAGCTGGCACATGCCATCCAGCAGCGCTTTCTTTGTATCTTGCAAAAATGATAGAGTCTTGTTGCTAAGCTCTCCCACTTTTCAGGGAATGCTAATAAAATTTTAACCTCAAAGAATTGAGAATGTCAAGTGGGGGCATCTTTGCACAGAGGGGTGGGCCCCGTGGTGTGGGAGGGTGTCTGCGGTTGGTCTGCTGAGTGCGCCACATCTGTGCTATCCTCCTGAGGCCCTTGCCTGGTATGTTCCAGGCCTCGCCTCGCTTCCCCCTGCCTTACCTGGCATCTTCGGTTCAAAACTCAACCACCATCAGAGGGTGTGAATGGAGAGGGAGATGGAGACAGACAGAGAAAGAGAGAGAGAACAGAGATTGAGAGACAAAAACACACAGACAGACAGAGAGAGGGAGGGAGGGAGGGAACTTGTTTGCTTCTTCCTGGTGACCGAGTGCTACCCCAGTTGCCTTGGCCTCCGGCCTTCGCCATCCTGTTTTGTGGCTGCCTACCCGCTCTCATCCAGCCCCCTGCTCCGGGGTCCCTTATAGACTCTTGGGTGTCAATTCCTGATGATTTCAAACAGCTCCCGTGGAGTTCCAGGACAAGAAGCATCTGCGTCCTTTCCCTGTGACTCCCTGGCTCCCAGTGGTTATTTGCCTCCTGCTGTGTCTTGGGAAACAGCCACAGTGTGTGGATGTGGGGTGTGGGGAGGCTCCATTAGAGAACAGAAAGTCTGGTGACTCTTCTTAGAGCATGATGCACTTTCATATAAAATTAATCTAAAGAACCACACATTGCTCACTTTTGAGAAGGGCCCTGGGTCCGGGGCGGCGGGCGGGGTGTGGAGGAAGCAGCCACACTTTCCTGGTTCAGGGGCAGACGTCACGCAGCCTGCGTGTCCCTCCTGATTCATTTGGGATGCCGAAGGCTCTTGGACCCGTCTGCTCCATCGTTTCTGCACTTTGCAGGTGGCAGCCCTGCGCCCGTGTGTCTCAGCTGCACCTGGGTGAGTCACTGGGCAGGAGAATTACTCAGAAAGGAAGCGGATTAGGTCATTCATTGTCAGCCACAAAGGAGAGGGAGGAGAACTGTTAGAAACTACGTCCTTTTGGTTCTTGGGAAAAACCTTTTGTGATTGTGAAGTTCCAGCTCTCACTTTACAAATAAATGGAGGCCTGGCTTTGGTGGGGCTGGCCTCCCTGCCTCTCCTCTGACCTGGTGGGAGGGGCCCCTTCCCTGCACATCTCATGCCTGCCGTGCTAGCCCAGCTCCTAAGGGGGACGTCCTGGCTGGCGGTGGCCCAAGCTGTTCTGCATAGCTCCTTCCTAAAAGAGGGTCCTCTGGTGTCCCGCGGCCCACAGCTCCTTCCTAAAAGAGGGTCCTCTGGTGTCCCGCGGCCCACAGCTCCTTCCTAAAAGAGGGTCCTCTGGTGTCCCGCGGCCCACAGAGCCTGCTAGTGTGCTCTCAAGAAAACCAAAAACCCCAGCACCTGTGGTGGCAACGCGCTGGCACCAGAGCAGTGGTTAGGATGAATTTCTGCAGGTGGTCAAAGGAGGGACCGGTCCCCACAGACAGCAGGAAGGGGAGCCTCAGAAGTCACCAACATGTTGTGTTAGTCTGTTCTTTCCTTGCTGTAATGGAATACCTGAGGCTGGGTAATTTATAAGGAAAGAGGTCTCATTGACTCATGGTTCTGTGGGCTGCACAGGAAGCAGGTGCCAGCATCTGCTTGGCTTCAGGGAGGCCTCAGGAAGCCAACAATCAAGGCAGAAGGCGAAGTGGGAGCGGGCATGGCACAGGGTTAGAGCGGGAGCAAGACGGGGAGGCAGTCCCAGACTTTGTTTTCTGTCTTTGTGTGTGTGTATGTGTGTTTGAGTGTATGCATGTGCGTGTTTGTGTGTATACATGTATGTGTGTATATGTGTTTGTGTATGTGTGTATGTGTGTTTGTGTGTATATATGTATGTGTGTGTATATGTCTTTGTGTGTATGTGTATATGTGTGTGTGTGTATGTGTATATGTGTGTGTATGTGTATGTATGTGTGTAGATGTGTATGTGTGTATGTGTATATGTATGTGTGTATGTGTGCATGCATGTGTGTTTGTGTGTATATATGTATGTATGTGTATATGTCTTTGTGTGTATGTGTATATGTGTATGTGTGTGTATGTGTATATGTGTGTGTATGTGTATGTATGTGTGTAGATGTGTATGTGTGTATGTGTATATGTATGTGTGTATGTGTGCATGCATGTGTGTTTGTGTGTATATATGTATGTGTGTATATGTCTTTGTGTGTATGTGTATATGTGTGTGTGTGTGTGTGTGTGTGTGTGTGTGTGGCACAGTCTCTCTCTGTTGTTGAGGCTGTAGTGCAGTGACACAATCTTGGTTCACTACAGCCTCCGCTTCCTGGTTTCAAGTGATTCTCCTGCCTCAGCCTCCCAAGTAGCTGGGACTACAAGCGTGTACCACCAAGCCCAGCTAATTTTTATATTTTTGATAGAGATGGAGTTTCACCATGTTGGCCAGGCTGGTCTTGAACAATTGACCTCAAGTGATCTGCCTGCCTCAACCTCCCGGTGCTGGGATCACAGGCATAAACCACTGTGCCCAGCCTGGACTCTTTAAAGAACCAGATCTCGTGTGAGCGCAGAGCAAGAATTCACTCATTACAACAAGACACACCAAGCATTCATGAGGGATTCACCACCATGATCCAGGCACCTCTCAGGAGGCCCACCTCCAACACCGGAGGGGCATTTCAGCATGAGATTTGGAGGCAAAACATGTCCAAGTAATATCATCTGGACTCAGGCCAAGATTTTATGGTGGGGTTTGCTGAGCCCAACTGGCACAACTGCAGGAGGAATGACCCAGCCTCTTCCCCGAGTCATGTCCTTGGGGAAAGGCAGCAACCGGGGAGCAGCTGCTCCTAGACCTCGATCCTCAGAGGCCCCCACAGCCCAAGTGCCTCTGGCTTCTGCCACCCCTGTCCCAGAGAAGCCACCCATGAACAGACCTGGGGTGTGGCTGGCCTCTGTTCCAGAATTCTGCAAAGGCTGCAAGTGCTGAGCCTTGTTCCCGTCCCCGAGACAGCGACAGGAACTCGGAAAAAACAGGTACTTCCCTGCCATATGGGGCTCCCATCCGGAGGTACTTGGGCTCCCCAGCTGGGTGGTTCCACCGAGAATTCATCTCAACACAGCAGAGGAGGTGAGCCTGGGCACTTTCTTGAAGAACAAGTGACTCTACATGAAAGAATGAACCAGTTTTTTAGGTTTTGAACACTGCAGTGACACGAGCTATGAAAACATATGAACTGTAAACCTTTTCTATAAGGAAAGGAATTGCAAATAGTACTTTGAGCAGTGTCACAGGTGAGTTTCGGAGGTCACAGGGAAACGGCAGAATGTGGATTGCAGGGCCCTGCCCGCCAAGGGGAGCTCACGGCACACGTGCACCTGCTCTCCGGAGCCTGCCCTGCTCTGACTATCTCTCACTCATCTACAAGCAAACTTAGCTGACACCGTGGGAGTTAAAGATGGAGTGATGGGCTCCAATGTCACGTGTAGTCACTAGAAAACCCTGAGTGCAGCAGAGCCCTGCCCTGCTACTGGAAGTGTCCTCAACCCTGGTCCAGCATCTCTGAGAAGCCATGTCTGCTCTTCCAGTGCTCTCCTGGGCAGCGCCAGCCGAAGACCAGGCACTCTTCAGATCCCGGATTTCTGCAATGGGGCTTCTTATCATCCCCCAAACCTGCGCCTCTTTCATGTTCTTGCGTAAATGAAGGCACCATGCTAAAACCGAGGATCTCAGTGACAGGCTCGACCCCTTTCTGTCCCTCATGCCCACAGCCAAGCACCTTTGCAATTAGAAGGCATCTTCCTACGGACTCTCACATCGTCCCCTCTCTGCACCCCTCCTGCCCTGCCCATCCAAGCTTGTCACCTCTTTCTAGACTGTTATGATGGCCTTTTAATCATTTTCCTCTCATAGGTCTTGACTTTTATGATCTATTTGTCTGCTGCAGTCCTGAGGTCTTTACACAGTACCCTCCAGGGGACTCATTTGCGGCATCCAGGCCTTTTACGATAATGTTAAAATTCCAAATTAGAACCTTCCTAGTCCTTTCCTTACACTCATCTTTGCAAGGTTTGGTATTCAGAAGGCACTGGCGGGTGACTGAAAGTAAACAGGAAGAAAGGAAGACACTCCGTATGTCCTTGTACCTTCTCATAAAACAAGTATCCCATAGCACACAGAAAAACTACTTAAAAGCCTCATCATTTTCTTCCTCCCTCTCAGCACCTGGCTTGAAGACTCCCCGAAATCCCCAGCTGCTGGCCATGCTGGCCTTCCTGTAAACCTCTTCATGGAGGCACCATGCCATGGATCCCAAAAGTCATGCAAAGGGCAAGTCATCAGCCAGAGTCCTCAGGAAAGAGACTTGTTCATTGGTTTCGCCATCTTCTTGTAGAAGTCTGAGTCTCCACCTGCACTGCGCTTCTTGGACTAGATGGGGCTTTGCTTTAGCACTAGTTCTAAAGACCCTTGAATTGAACGGGAATCCCACATTTTTATATTTTCCCTTTAGGGACCCACACCTTACTGTTGCAAAATGAAATGCTGTTGAATACAGGACTCTCTCCTCGCCTTGTCTGACTGCACAATCACAGCTGCCAAAGCCACTCTCCCCACATCGCAGAAACAGATCGCTGCCTCCTCATGTCAGTTCACCACTTCAGAAGAGCATTTGCTCTGGCAGCCAGGCCCTTTTATTGTACCCCACCCCAGACCTCAGTTCCAACCTCTGACCGCCTTTAGCTTTGCGTGCCATGAATTCGCGCTGCCAATGGCTGGGGAAGAAACGCTGGGTTCATGGGGCAGGCACGGGTTTTCTGTGAGCAGAGAAGAGAGAGATGAGGGAGGGGCACGGCCTGAGACTGTCGATTACCGTCAGATACATCCACTTCAAGCCCTCTTTTCCCCACTCCCCATACCTGGTGAAGACTGCCTGTGCCATGCCAAAAGCCAGAACCTCCTTGTGATTCTACACAACTCACATCTAACAGCAGAGCTGTGCATGGGTGTGTTCACGTTACAGACCCTCCCTTAAAACTCTGAGCTGTGTCCCAGCTGTGTCACAACTGTTTATCCGTCTCAGTGTTTTTCTGGGTTGGAATGAACCTCATTTCTTGTTTGAGGACATGCAGGTTATGGGCAATGATGCTGAATGGATGGCAAAGAATAAAATTAGAAGAACAATTGCTGTGGCGTGAGTCCTAATTAACACTTGGGACTCTGAGCTTGTTAAAGTGGATGGTTATAGATTGTAAATGGAAGTGTACATATTTAAAGTAAGGATTTTTTTTTTTTTGAGACAGAGTCTTGCTCTATCACCAGACACCAGGCTGGAGTGCAGTGGCCCAATCTCAGCTCACTGCAATCTCCTCCTCCTGGGTTCCAGCAATTCTCCTGTCTCAGCCTGCTGAGTAGCTGGGACTACAGGCACACACCACCACGCCCAGATAATTTTTATATTTTTTAGTAGAGACAGAGTTTCACCATGTTGGCCAGGATGGTCTCGATCTCTTGACCCCGTGATCTGCCCGCCTTGGCCTCCCAAAGTGCTGGGATTACAGGCATGAGCCACTGCGCCTGGCCTAAAGTATGGAACATTTTAAAACTGAGACTTGGGAGAAATATATTCATGGAAAAAGGACATATGATAACTCTTCTTTTTTTTTTGAGATGGAGTTTCCCTCTTGTTGCCCAGGCTGGAGTGCAATGGCGTGATCTCGGCTCATCGCAACCTCCGCCTCCTGGGTTCAAGCAATTCTCCTACCTCAGCCTCCTGAGTAGCTGGGACTATAGGCACGCGCCACCATGCCCAGCTAATTTTTTTGTATTTTTAGTAGAGATGGGGTTTCACCATGATGACCAGGATGGTCTCGATCTCTTGACCTCGTGATCCACCTGCCTCGGCCTCTCAAAGTGCTGGGATTACAGGCGTGAGCCACCGCACCCGGCCCAACTCATCTTTATTCATCAGAGTTTAAAGTGATTTCCACCTCTAGCTATTTGGACTGAAGCTGGATAAAACGTCTTTTAAAAGTGTTTAAAGGGATCGGAGCCGTAACAAGGTGGTAAAACTGTCTGGACGAAGATTTAAGAAAAGAAAGAAATATAGAGAAGTGCAGCTGGCACCAAGTGCTGACTGCATCCGGGGGGGTTTCTGCTCTTTCAGGAAGAGGAGGCCCACACCAGGCATTCACGAGGGATTTGCCACCACCATCCAGGCACCTCTCAGGAGGTCCACCTCCAACACTGGAGGGGGCATTTCAACATGAGATTTGGAATGGGAAGCCGAGAAACACTTTTGGCTGCGTCATGAGGCAAAAAGTCAAGTGCAGGAGTCTAAGTCTTGCCAAGATTAAGGCCTTCATAACGCCCTGAAACTGAGTTGGGATCCCAACTCCTTTGAGTGAGGAGTAAGGAGGAGCAAAAAGTAAACCTGTTCTCACATATACTCGTCTCAGCTTCAAGTCACCTGCGTGGCCCTAAGAAACACCATCACTGAAATTGTGTTAAGGTAATCCCAGATTGATGGTCTCTCCAGGCTCCTGGCTGAAGTAAGAGAAAATTATCTTTGGAGAAACAACATCCTACCAGGCCACAAATCGTTTCTGAGCAATCTCTTAAATATTTGCTTGGCATTTTATCAAAGATAGCCAGAAGCACAGGTGACATGACAATCTAACTTAGAACTAGCAGAAAGAACTGGTACATATGCACCCAAAATAAAAGAAATATCAGACATGGTCCCTAAAATAACTGTGTTTATGGGTTCAAGGATATGAAAAACAAGATTTAAAATATCATTACAATACCAAACACATTCATCTGTGAAAATTACGGCAGCTTGGGGAAAAAAAAATTCAGAACTGAAAAATACAATGACAAATTAAAAACACAAGAACCATGTTTTACAGCAGAATGGAAACAGCTGAAGAGAGGATTATTAAACTGGAAGATAGACCACAGGAAAATAGCTAGATTGAGGCAAGCAGAGACTAAAGATGAGAAAGACAAGAGAAAATATTAGATTTGGAAGACGTGGTGAAAGGACCAGTGTTTCAGAAGGAGAGAAGAAAGAAAATGGATAGAAGCAATACTCGAGGGGCTAGCAGCTGAGAACATAATGTATGTCTTTATTTTATGGGGAGTTCATAAGAGGTGCTGAGGTGGCTTCTGGCCCACAGGAAATTGAAGACTTCAGTCCAACAGCTGCAAACAACTGACTCTTGCCCGCAAGATGGATGAGCTCAGAAGTAGATCTCTCTGATTAAAGCTTGCTGAGAACTTAGCCAGCCAGACACCTGGATTACAGCTGGCTGAGACCCAGGCAGAAGACTCAGTGAAACATGCCTGAGCTCTATTTATTATTTAAGCATTAAAAAGCTGATCAGAAACTGTGTTTCTTTTTCATTTTTTTACTTTTATTTTAGGTTCAGGAGTACATGTGCAGGTATTTTATATAGGTAAACTCAGGTCACAGGGTTTATTGTACAGGTTATTTCATCACCCAGGTACAAAAGCGCAGTACTCAATAGTTATTCTTCAATTCTCTACTGTCTCCCACCCTCCATCATCAGGTAGGTTCTAATGTGTGTCATTCCCCTCTATGTGTCCATATGTTCTCATTATTTATCTCCCACATATAAGTGAGAATATGAGGAATTGGGTTTTCTGTTCCTGCATTAACTTGTTAAGAATAATGGCCTCCATCCATGTTCCTGCAAAAGACACAGTCTTGTTCTTTTTTATGGCTGCATAGTATTCCCTGGTGTATATGTACCACAGTTTCTTTATCTACTCTATCATTTATGGACATTTAGGTTGATTCCATGTCTTCGTTATTGTGACTAGAGCTGCAATGGACATAACATGTGCATGTATATTTATGGTAGAATAATTTATATTCTTTTGAGTATATACCGAGTAATGGGATTGCTGGGTCAAATGGACAGAAACTAATTTAAAAAGAGCAACCACACAAGATATTGGCAAGGATGTGGTGCACCTGCAGCTCTTGGGCATTGCTTGTGGTATAGCCACTCTGGAAGACAGTTTCATAGGTCCTTAAAGAGTCAGACATTACAACGAAATGAGGTGTTATTACAAATGTATTAGAATGTCCAAAATCTGAAACACCAACACCACCAAACACTGATGAGGAGGTGGGAAT